CTGACTTTCGATATGTCTACCCCGTTGCACGTCGTGACACCTCCAACACCACACTGGCGATGAAACACTTCGTTGATGACTTGGAGAAAATTGGAATCTTTTACAGTGATAATGCTCCTGAGATTGTAGCAGCTATGAGAGCTATGAAGATCAGGCATCAAATCAGTAAAGATTACATTTCAACATCCAATGCCATCGCTGAGCGAGCCGTGCGGTCCACGTTGGAAGGAACACGTGCTAATTTGCTTCAAGCAGGACTTCACCATGGGTACTGGCCCTATGCCGCCAGACATTGGTGCATCATGCATGACACTGCACCAGATGGAACCGGAAAGGATACACCATGGAAATTAAGATTTGGGACGGACTTCGAAGGACCACTTATCCCATTCGGATGTAAGGTGGACTATTGGACTGGACCTCGGAAGAAACCCAAAAAGCAAATGAAGTTTGAACCAACGTCTGAACCGGGTGTCTTCCTAGGGTATGTCATCCATCCAGGCTTCCATTGGAGAAAAGAATTTGCAGTAGCTTCACTAAAACAAATCAATGATGCAGATTTTGGCCAATCCGTCACAGTATTGAGGGTATTGAAGGTTTCGATTCCTGAGATAATCGAGTTTCCCTGTCGCAAGCGTGCCGATGCCATCCGAGATGGTAGCTTGAAACCAAACCAACTGCTTGATGACCAGGATGCACTGCCGCCACCGGAAGAGCAAGACGCTCAGCCTGTGCGGGAGCCAGGCCCAGCCAAAAGAACCATTACGGACATTGAAGCTGGACAACCTGCCCAACAATCCAGTGCATCCGCCGTTTATCACCAGGGGTGGTTAGAGTTTTTCAAGCACGTTGACCACAAAGAGGCATGGTATGAATACGCCAATTGCAAAGTGAACGTTCGGATCATCGACAATCAATGTATAGGTCCATCTCCTGACTTTACTGCAGCTGATTTTCCGTTTCGAACGACATGCATTAAAGACGATGACTCATGGCATGTCCACGACGAGAATTTGAAGATTGATCCTCCGGTCGAAGATCTTGAAAAGGATATTGAGGTTCACGAGGTGATTGTTACCATATTTTCGAAAGAACCCATCGACCTGAGGAATCGTGTGGACGAGCCCATCGCAGGAGACGCACCTGGTGAAGAAGTCGAAGTAATTAATCCGATTACGGGGGAACTTGAAAGGGTTCGGACCAATGACCCCTCATACTATGACGCAGGTGGTTTTAAAGCAAGAAAATACAAGAATTCAAGCAAACCAAAGGACATCCCTCCATTTGTATGGCAAGCAATGTCTCAGAAAGAAAGAAGGGCATCAATTGCAGATGAGCAACGAAAGTTAGCCCTGGAAGAAAAGGAAAAGAAACGCGCCAAACGAGTGAAAGCTGTACCCATGATCGGAACTCTCAAAGAATCACCAAATGAATTGGAAGAATGCTTATCCTACGAATTCATCCCAGCAATGCCTGTATGCCAGATGAACCCTCAGAAACATCGAACTAAGTGTATTAGGCTTGGAATCCAATCTGGGGAGAAAGCCATCAACACTTTAGTGGCTAGGCCAGTGGGGAAAAAGGAAATTAGAGCCAACCCCAAGGCCCAGCAAGCGTTAGACGTGGAGTGGGAGAAACTGGTAAAGAAGAAGGCCTGGCAATATGAGACAGTGGCCGAATGGAAGGTCATTGCCGACAAGGCCAAAAAGACTGGGAAGAAAGTTCACATAGGAAAGGTCTTTGAGATTTGCGTTGAAAAGGGAAGTGAATTACCCGAGGGAGATAAACTCCGGAAATTCAAAGGAAGAACAGTATTCCAAGGCAACAATGTAAAGGACGAAAGTTCCGATGTTGCACTGTTCTCCGAATTAGGTTCTTCACCAGCCACCATGGAAGCTGGCAAAGCAGTGGATGCCTACGGAGCTCAACCGGGATTCATAACCCAACAAAATGACGGAGTACAAGCTTACACTCAAGCCTTATGGAAGGGCGTGGAGACTTGGGTGGAACTGCCACCCGATCGATGGCCCAAAGAGTGGCATGGTAAGTTCATTAGACCAGCTGTATTGCTTCGCATCGCTCTTTACGGTCACCCCGACTCGGGGGGACTTTGGGAACAGTACTGTGAAGCCATGTTGAAACTAGTGGGCTTTATCATGCCAGACCCGGAAGGGTGGCCTTCGGTGTTTTTCCACCCAGAGCTCAAGTTGTTGCTTGTCGTGTATGTTGATGATTTTAAGATGTCAGGACCCAAAGAAAACATGTCAAAGGGATGGAGCTGGATTGCATCAAAGATTGATATGGACACTCCCGGGGAAGTCAATAGATATCTTGGATGTGACCATGTAGCTCAACACAACGTAAAGCTCACGGTCGAGGATCATCCTTATGCTCGTGTCTTTGACAAGTCACTGGCCGATCCGGCCTCGCCTGCCGCCGCCGCGTGCCACAGGACTCAGGATTTTTGGGAGCTCGACACCATCAATGATGTCTATATGAGACACCATGTGCAGCCAAGGAAGAAGTTATTTTTGCCCGACGAGGAAGTTGTAAAAACATGCCATTTAGCCCCTTTTAGATTCACGAATGCAATCCCATGCAGCAACAATGAGAATGAAATAGAACAATGGGATACTATTGGAATTGGATCCAACGTGAACAAAGGGGGTAGCCTAAATGAATCTTGGGTTGGCACTACTTACTTCTTTCCTACATCATGCAAAGACCCGAAGGCTGCCATGGCTACCATCAAAAGGGACAAATCCGGAGCCAAAAAGAAAGCTAGAGCGGAAGGTTTTTCATATATGGACCAACTTTTCGAGAACCAACCCTGCATGCAAAAGCCTGTGACTACTTTCACATATGATATGGAGCCTTTCCTGAAATCATGCGTTGATAGGTATTTAACACTTGCTGGCAGGGATGCCAAGCCTTTGAAACAAGTTTCCACACCATTCCACGAAGAACGGATTGCACGGCCCATTGCCGATGAAAAGGAAACCAAAGGTGTGTTGGCTCCAATAGCCGCAAGGGTCCTAATGAAAGTACTATTTGCAGCCAGGATGGCAAGATTCGACTTGCTGCGGGCCGTTCAAGGCCTGGCAGCCCGTGTAACAAAATGGAGTGCAGAATGCGACAAAGCACTGCACAGACTCATTTGTTACATTAATTCCACCCTGAATCACAAGCAAAGAGCTTTCATAGGGGACAAGGTAAGTGAATGTAGACTTTGGCTATTTGCAGACGCAGATCATGCAGGAGAATACGACAATCGATCCACCAGTGGTTGTTTGTTAGTTCTTGTTGGCCCTAACACGTACTTCCCGCTCACAGCATTCAGCAAGAAACAAACTGCCGTTGCAATGTCAAGCACTGAAAGTGAAGTAGTAAGTGCAAACGTGTCCCTTAGAGCTGTCGGTCTACCTTCCTCCGGTTTGTGGGCATACCTCCAGAACGCGGGGGGAGAGAGAGAAGGAAAAGACAGCATTCCGGGAGGTTTGCCAAGGCATGACATTGAAACCCAAAAAGAATCCAATGGGGAATACTGGCAATTCATGAGAAGTAGAAGATTGCTTATCCGAGTCCACACAAAGCCAAGGTCCCACTTGTTCACACCCATTGACATGTCCAAGTCGCCCATTAACCTTAAGCGTATCGGATGTGCTCGCACCACCGTGATGCTAAAGGATGGAATGGTTGACTTCATGCAGGACAATTGGAAGGTCAAAGTTGACTACCCGATCGATGGGGAGTGGACTGGCAAGACTTTCTTCAGGGTTTACGGTCCCTATGAGTCCGACTACAACATCGAGTCCGTCGAAATCCGTGAAGTTCTCACCGACTACGAGTTCGTAGGACGTGAGAAAGAGGGAGAGTGCATGATTTCTATGTTTTCCCCACAGTCAATAAAAGGTGTATTTGTAGAGAACCAGGCTACCATTAGAATTCTTGAGAACGGAAAATCACCCACTTTCCGACATACAGACAAAACTCAGCGAGTTAACCTATCTTGGTTGGAGGAACAATTTAAAAGAAGATGGTACAAGCTAGTCCATGGTCCAAGCATGCTTCAGGCTGCCGACATTCTCACTAAACCATTTGTTAGTGCGGAGAAATGGAGACTCGCTGTCAAACTTCTTGCAATTACCCCCGCCAAGAAAGTTGCCCCACTGAAAGCTCTGGCATCGGCAACGGAGGCCATTTTGCCTCATAGCATTGCTGCGCCAAGCACGGGGGGACCCGCTGCCAAGTCTGATACCAAGAGACTGATCGTTGAAGTGTGCTGTCATCCTGAATCCAAACTCAGCCAAACCAATCGAAAGTGGTCTGAAGGTTGCGAGGTACTACAGTTTACAGAAGAATTTGATCTTAACGAAGTGGAAAATCAAATGAGGATTGCAGAGCATGTCAACTCTTTTAAAGGTGATGTGAAACCATTCATTTGGATCAGCCTACCGTGCACGGGGGGTACACCATGGACCTATATCAACATGAAAAACCCCAGTGCACGTGAAAAGGTTTTGAAACATGTCAGAGAGTTTGACCGACTTTGGATTTCCTTGAAATCATTCCTTCGGATGTTGACTCGTGAAGTACACATTGCACTTGAATGGCCACGCAAATGTCGATATTGGAAACTGGCTAAAGTTGCAAAGCTTTTGAGTTTGTATGAAATGATTGCATACCATTTTGACGGTTGTGATCTTGGAATGTTGAATCAAGACAACGAACCATTGAAGAAACCTTGGACAGTGGCCACCAATCATGCTGGAATCGGTAGGGCATTATCGAAGTTCCAATGCACATGCAATAGGCGTCACGCTCCAGGCAGAGGTATAGCTCTTAAGAAAACGGAAGAGTACACGTTCCGCATGACAGACACCATACATAAAGCTCTTACCCGACAGCATCCCGCTCTCAAGCTTTCTTGCTGTGCACTCGCCGCGTCCTTTCACACGCCCGTTGTCGTCATGTTGACCCGTGCAATCCAGATGGCTAAGGCCTGCGCTGTTGCCGGGAGGCCAGCCATTCTCGAACGAATCACCCAGTGGGAAGGTGTGGTCAATACCCTGAAGGGAGCCATCGCGGTGGCGACCCGGGACGACCCCCAAGTGCTTCTACGAGAGATGGAGGGCTGCCGGCTCCCCTTGGCGAACATTGTCGAGCCCATGCTTGGCGGTGGGAACTCAGAGGGAGCGTACGACACCTTGGCTGAAGTGTTCAAAAACACCCCTGACGGCTATTTGGCAATGTGCCCATACCCGCCGGGAGGCGAGGTCGACCTGCTGATTGTATCGGATTCGTCACTGGCTTTGGTGCCAGACCCAAATGCAGGTAAGGCCTCGTGTTTCTCAGGTGGCGATCTTCTCAAACCCTGGGGGGACATCCGTGGCATCTATACCAAAATGCTGTGGGGCAAGGGATTGAATCACATGGTCCAGTACATCCCCGAGGCCATCGATGACATTGAGTCCACAAATCGTGCCCATGGCCGCCCGGTCTTGCCGGTGTTGGTCATCGTCGCATAGACGGGAAATGATGTGTATGGCGAAGGGGGTTACAGAGGTGTCCATTGGATTCACAGGGCTTCCTACAACAAATCTGCTGCCGACCGGGAGGTTACGGCCAACTGGTGCGAGCGGCAAAAGGCCAGAGTTGAGCGGTCCGTGAATGACTTGGGCCAGCTCAAGAGAGAGGAGCCCCGTATCCTGGACATCGTGGTTGTGGGCAATGCCGACGCGGACATCTTTGCGCTCCCGTCGGCCTACAACGAGACCATGCGAGTCCATATCAGAGCACTGCGTGAGGACCACAACATCCAAACCCTTGACACCACCATCATGCTTGCTCGTACGGTGAGATATGACAAGGTCCATTTGGAAGATGACACCCTCAACCGGAAGTATATCACCAACTTCCTTCAAGCCGTCGCTGATTGCCACCTCTCTTATCTCAAGCTCATCAGCGTCGACGATCATTTGAGGACCCTTCCAAGGATCGAGGATCTCCAAGGGCAGAAGAACTACCCGAACCTTCTTGAAGGCCGCGTACCATCTGGAGATCGATTCGAATGTCTCATCACCACAAGACCTACCTCCTCGACCAGATCCAGAGAAGGTCATGCTTGATGCAGACATCGAGATTTTCAACTGGGTGCTCCAAGCTGAGGAGAACGCCACTGCCACTGCCAACCGGGAGGTTGAGTCATGGATGAGAGACATTCCTGAAGAGGACCAGGCGTTGGAACCTATGCATCAGGACAACGCTGATTCCGACGATGAAGCTGTCAAAGTCCAGGCTCTCACCATGGAAGACCGGATTCAGGCAAGGCGACAAGGCCTCTCCGAGGAGCATGACCAAGAGTGGCAAGATGCTACCTACTCGGCCGAGGATGAGAAAGAGGAGTTCAAGGGTTGGGACCTCATTGAAGATGACAAACGCCCGCCGGGAGTCGTGGCCAGTGATCCAATTCACGAAGAAGAACAGGATCTTGACCTCGATGATCTCGAAACAGTGGCTTCGCTGGAGGTTGTCGAAGAGGAAGAGTTCCACGACGTCGAGGAGGGCCAGGTCGAGGCAATTGATGACGATGACGATGATGACATGGCCGTGATCAACAAGGTCTCTTCTATGCAGGCCGACAAGTCTGATGCACGGGGGGACCCGGATCCCATGGATGTGGATGAACAGGGCAACAAGATGGTCCAGAGCACATCATCGGTCAAGACGTGGAGAACTGACACCTCAGCTGCGACGGCGGGAGCCTCGTCTTCTGATCCGTCCACCAAGCTCAAGCCAAAGTCCAAGCCGAAGGTCAAGGCCATGCCCAAAAGATTGAAGGTTGTCGATGAAGGGCATGGTCCGAGCGCGGAACAGTTCGACACGTCAAAGTTTGCCTCAGCGCAGGATCTGGTATGGATTGAGCCAGACAACATGGCAGGTGTTCCCGTGCGGAAGGTGGACTACGGGAGGCTTAGCTCGATTTCCCATGCTATGTCCGACTACCTCCGTGGCCACCGCTTGTTTCACAGGAGGCTTTCCCCAGAGATTCGGAGGACAGATTTGTCTATGGACTTCAAGGCATTGGTGAGGCATCTCCAAGGAGATTTTGCGCATCTTCGAGAAGAAGAAGTCCTGATGATTGTGCGCAATTCGCTGATGCGCCGTTTCCGAGTCCAGGTGAATGGCATGTCGTCCGGGAAGCTCAAGTGGACGCCAGTGAGGATCAGGGCCATTCAGGGCCATCGAGCCTTTCTCGTGGAGGAAGGGGGGATGTCATCCATGATCAAAACGATGTTCACATTTGATGAGAACTTCGACGAGACCAAGGTCGACGATCCTACGGTTCACCCCGCTTTCTCGGCGATGCCGGAAGGCTCGCCTGTGTGGCACAAGTTCCCCAGGGTGGTGTATCACACCTGTGACCAAGCTGCCTTCAACTCCATCATCAAGTACGGCCTCATCCCTGGCGGCTTCCCATACAAAACCGGCAGAACCCACAACTTTTTCAACCCCACTCCGCCCTGGAAAGCGGAAATGAAAAAGTTGCAAGGCACGCGGGCCGGGAGGCCAATCGCCATCGCGTTCGATATGGAGCTCATGATGCAAATGGGCTACAAACTCTTCGCGACTGATGAGGCCATCCTCTCGCCAGATTGGATCTCGAACCTCCCGATGATCAACGCCTACGACATGAGATCCGGGGAATTCTTCTACATCAACCGTGCCTACGTCAACCACAGGAAAGCCTACCAAGAGGTCCTGAAGCAGGCGAAGGCCGAGTTTGATCCGGATGATGTCCTCATCAGCCGAATGGACATGCTGATGGAGAATGCCCAGTTGAACTTCGAGGGGATCAAGGAGCGCATTGAGTTCGGCAAGCTGCTCCCCTTTTCCAGGCGAGAAGACATCGAGGTGGAGAAAAGCACCGCCACCCGGGAGGGTGAGCCGGCATCAGGATCACAGCTGGTGCCAGGTTACACCATTGCAAAGATGGCTGCCATGACGAGCACTGATGCGTGCGGATTTCAACGTCGTGGACGAAACGGGCCCGGTGGTGGAAACTGGAATCGAGGCACAGGAAGGCATGGATTTGAGTTGCAATTCAAGGACATCTCCTACAACCAGATCCAGGACTCTCCTCAGGTCCGTTGCCGACATCCGATTTGCGGGTTTCTGATGGTGGATGGGCATTTGAAATGCCCACAGTGTTTCAGGCAAATGGAACCTGTCACTGATGCAAACATTGCCACCGAAGTTGCCTGCCGGGAGGCGATGGCCCGAACTCGAGGAGTGCCCTTTTCCATGGACAAGGTGATCTTCAACCACCCGAGGAGAGGAAGAGTGGCCAGACAGCCGGAGAAGGGGGCTTCATCTTCATCGACCGCCGTCCGAACCAGAAGTACCTATGGGAACTTGCGAGACATGGCACGCAACTATGTGCGATCTTTCAAGAAGCGCGGCTTCAAAGACCTGGTCGACAGGCTTGTCCGTGACCCATTCTTCCAGTTCAACGCGGCGAACCAGAATTTGGTCCCGGAAGCCTGCTCTTCATTGAACGGCTGGCTGGCTGTGTGAGTCCGACCATTGAACGCACCAAGGCACAGGTTCTTGGAGAAAAGCTGGAGGTGGCCACCAAGTTGATCTTCGTGCCATCGTCGGAGCGGGAGCCCGACCAACCCTTGGATCTTCACACCGAGGTGTTTGTGTCACATCGGGGCGTCTTTCTCGACATTGGCCAGTTCGCAGTCTATGTGGCGAAGTTCATCAAGCCGAAGCAACGACCTCTACCCATTGTTTATGGCTGGGGCAACCGTGACTTCGTGCCAGATGCTTCTGATGCCAAAGGGATTGCGAAGGAATTGGTGGAGTTCAGCAAGCTGCAGTGGTCGAACTTCACTTCCCAGCAGACACACAAAGAGTCGGAAACTACAGGCGACGACCGGGAGGTCAGTCTACCCCATGCGACTGGGCCCATTAGTCGACCTGAACATCAACGACCTCATCACGAACAGTTCGAGCCAAACCTTGGGAAGCCGGCTCGGGGTGGACCTTATGGACAAGGCCAGGGTGGAAAAGGTCACTACAAAGGCGGAGGACAGACAAAGGGGAAGGGACAGCAGAAGGGAAAGGGCAAGCAAGGCAGAAGCCCACCGGGAGGTGTGGCCTATGGTGACTTTGAAGGAGATTCCTACTGGGTTCAGGGCTATCGCTATACGTGGTACTGGAACCAACAGCGTGGATGGTACTGGCGCTGGACCTGAACATTCTGGATGACTCGCAGTGACACCTAGGTCATATCTTTCTTTTTCAAGTTTGCTTGCCGGGAGGCATGCCTGTCTATGACAAACTTGGCAGGCATTGCACCCATTGAACACACCAAAGCTTCGACGCACATTATGCATCACACCAGTCAAATGAACTTCAATGCATTAACTCCGTACAGTTTAGAAAGAATTAAAATTTCATTCAAAAACTTCTCAAGCCATACAATTGGATGTTCAAGGCAAGAGCTCAGATTAATTCGCACCATTTTCATGGCTGTACAGTTTTTCCTGCCATGGTACCTCTCAGGTGACATCAGAAGGAATGGTAAAGTTCCTACATTCATTTGAAGGTGCCTGGCGGGAGCCACGGCCATGCTGTGTGCAACATCGTGCCCAATTCTGGCAAAAAGAGCATACGATTCGCCATTTCGCATTCGTTCTTGCCATTAACATCCGTTGCATCCGAGCCTTGTGATCTCATGTACATTATCAGCAGTGTGCATCTTTCACCTTGACTTAGGTCTTGCGACGGCGGCTTACTGCAGGCGATTTCCACCAAAGCTGTTATACAGCTGCGGTGAACGGGGGGGTGTTTTTTTACAGGATGGTAATTACTACTGTCCTATACCTCCATGTAAAGTAGCACCTGTAGTAAGCATGTATATTACTTTGACATTGTGGCTCAAGACAAAAACAGTGTGCTTTGTTTACTGGCTGTTCGTGGCTGCATTGCCTATAAACATAGAAAAAATGTCACTAAAAAGCATCTTTGGTCACTATATCGAACGCTCACTGTTTTAGTTATCTTTGTGCTACTTTTAGCTATTTGGCTTAGGTCATTGAGATGGATCAAAAAAAAGGTTATGTTTCACTTTCATTTTTCTTGGTGCTAATATATGCTAATATACAGACTTAGAATAGCAAAGTCAATTATAGTTACACTGTCTAAGAAATCTTAACTTTCAGCCACATCAGCTTAATGCAGAAAGAGGAATGGACAGATATGGGTCAAGATATTTTTCAGCCAGAAGGTGGGCAGGGTGGGCAGCAAATCTGTAGGTTCCAGTGGAGCCACTATCCTTACTGCAGTTGCTACAGATGCAGACACTTTGGGTCAATTCTAACATAGCAAAACAACATGTCTGGACTGAGCATGAGTTGCTACTGTAGCTGAAGAAGTCACTGTTTTTTCTACAACGCGATAACTTTCATCTTTATAATTTATAATGTCCAAATCTCTACAACTCATTGGAGCAACAGGGACCCTTGCTCTCATGACAACACAGCCTCCATCAAAGCTGATGTTATTGCTTCCTGACTAGAGGCTAAGGAATGCAGACTACAACATAAGCCATACATTGGTACATCATCCATAACTTTTCTTTGTTGCTTCAGTAGGCTTCCATCGTTTCTCATCACCTTTTTCGGTCGCACCACTTCGACATCCGAAGAGATCTCTTCCACCGCCAGGTTGGTGTCCACCATGTTGGCCTTGTGCAGGAGGATGCCCTTGTTGTCGTTCAGCACCCCCTTGATGTCCAGCAGGACCAAAAACCACAGGACCACCTTGTGGAGCAGGAGGGAGACCTTCAGGTCGAAGCACCAATGGCTCCAAGCCGCCAGCAGGAAGGGCAAGAGGACCCAAAAGACCTCCGTCACCAACCCCTTGAGCTCTTTGATCACCACGTTGGCCTTCACCTGGATCGTTGCCTCCAGCTCGTTCATCTTGTTGATGGCCCCCTAGAAGATGTTCAGGTCGCCTTCCTGCATCCACCAGAGCAGCCGGCGGAGAAGCCTGCCACTGCAGCTGCACCCCACTTCAAAGAACTTCAGCACCTTGTCAAAGCACGGCCTGTTGGTCTGGTGGCAAACCCTCCATCACACCTTGGGCTTCCCCGTTATGACCTGGCTGTGGGCCACCAGCTCCAGCCACGATGACCTCTTGGGTTCCACCACTCGGTTGGGCTTGCGCACTTCCTTCCACCACTCGCACTGCGGCTGTCGACCCCGATGGATCATTGTTCAGGTCCTCCATCAGGTCTTCCAGCATTTGGTCTGCAGCCCTCTGATCTGCCACTTCTCCTCCACCATCGGCCCCATCAGCTGCAGGCGTTGCGTCAGAGACATGGCTTCAGAACCTCTTTGGGCTCATAACCTGCGGTGACGAACGGGGAGGTTCCCCTGCCCAGTGACAAAGCTCCTTTTCTTGAGCCATGAAAAAAGTCGCAGCGCAGGATGTTGTGCGTGTCATCCTTCAGCAGGGGCCCATGCTATTCGCATGTGCACTGTGCCAATCGCAATATTAATTAATCCAAAATTTGACCCATATCTGTCCATTCCTCTTTCTGCATTAGGCTGATATGGCTGAAAGTTAAGATTTCTTAGACAGCGTAAGTATAATTTACTTTGCTATTCTAAGTCTGTATGTTAGCATATATTAGCACCAAAAAAATTAGAGTGAAACATAACGTTTTTTTGATTCATCTCGATGACCTAAGCCAAATAGCTAAAAAGTATCACAAGGATAACAAAAACAATGAGCGTTCGATGTAGTGACCAAAGATGCTTTTTAGTGACTTTTTCAAACAGTGTAAAAGTCAGCCCTCCACAACATCCCTTTCTGGATAAATTCGCGGTAAAGAAGCATCCCGTTGCAAAAAAACATCACCTGTGAAGGAAAGCGTGGGACATGGGTTTGTCAGAACATGGGGTACGCCTTCAAAGTTGCGATTCTAAGAGGGAAGATGATAAACTGAAAAACCATCAAAGTTGGGGATGCACTATATATTCTCAGACAAACCCACATAGCATTCTCATGGCTACCTCTCTGATCTCTCCGTTGATGTTTCAAGGATGTAGCGAAGAACCATTGCTGCCTGGACTGCGAGCGATGAGCGGCCAAGCCTGGAGAAGGGAGAAGGAGGGACACCCTCTGGTTGTTTGATGCAGAACACCGTAAATTAGCCATTGGAGGTTTGGGAGGTTTGAATGGGAACAGAGGTTACCATGTTGCCATGTCTAATGTATAGACTTTAAGTGACAATCATTCAGATCATCGCTATTTAGGGTATCCCCCTACTTAGTTAATCGGGTTTATTCACCCAAAACCGGGGTGTGAGTCAAAAAACTTGTCATTAGCCAGGAGAGCCACTTTTGAATGGCGTGACACATGCAGGCTTGGAATGATGGCTGAAACCCATGCTGAGCCAAACTTTGTTGTTCCAGCCTTTAAATTTCGGATGAGATGTACATAGCCCGGCCTGCGCATCCGGCAATTCAATGTGAAAAAATCGTGACTCCGCCAGCTTCGTCTGCAGCGCTATGCATGCTACATCATTGCCTTGGATGTTCCTTCAGATTCACCACAGAATCAGAATTGCAAAGATGGCTTTACAATCAAATTCCATTGAGCATGGCCCTTTATGGATTCCAGCGTTTGAATTTTCTTGATGAAATCCTGTGAGATTCGCCTTGGTGGTGAAATCATTTGGTTAAAATTTCGAGCATTTTCCCGTCATGTCCTTGACCTTTCGGAACGCAGGTGCCGGGGCGGCCGGGCCTAGGACGAGGATGGCCTCGTGAGGAGAATTGTTCGAGCGACTTTTGCAGGGAGGAGCGAAGAAAAGGAGAGCTTGTGCCACAACCCATGAAGCCCCTGAGATGCTTTTTTCCCCGAATGCATAGGGAAGGGTTCTTGGTTTCTTGGTAGGGGGTCTGGGGGTGGAGTCTTGTTTGCGGGTGGAGTCTTGTTTGCCGGTCGTTGCGTGTTGCGGGTCTCTATTTGACCCCTCGCTGTACCTATAGGAATTGCTTTAAAGATGACGTTTTTTGAAGTTGCGAAAGTGCATGTCGCATGGCAGAAAGGCTTCGGCGTGAAGTGTTGCGCGGGTCTCCAATCGACCTTCGCTGTGCCTACAAAAAGCGACGTTTTTTGAAATTGCGAAAGTGCACGCGTGGTAGGCATGGGACTTCGTGGCATCAGGCGTGCAGTGTTGCGCGGGTCTCTAATCGACCTTCGCTGTGCCTATAGGAATTGCTACAAAACATGACGTTTTGAAGTTGCAGGCGTGGGGCTTCGTGCATCAGTCGTGAAGTGGCGCGCGGGTCTCTGAATCGCGTCGCTCGACTTGGTGCAAAACGTGACGTTTTGTTTTGAAGTTGCGAAATTGCATTTCGCATCGCCGGTGTGGGACTTCGTGGTATACTGAGGCGTGAAGTGGTGCGCGGGTCTCGAAATGGCGTCGCTCGCCATGTATTTGCGTCAAATTGCGAAATTGCATGTCGCGTGGCAGGCGCAGGGCTTCGTGGCACTGAGGCGTGAAGTGGTGCATGGGTCTTTAAATGCCGTGTGTCTAGGAATTGCTGATGCTTTGAAGTTGCGAAAATGTATTTTGCCTGGCAGGCGTGAGACTTCGTGGCAGTCAGGACAAGAGTGTGCAGTGTGGAGTGTGCAGCGTGGAGTGTAAAGTGCGGAGTGCGGAGTGTGAAGTGTGGAATGTGGAATGTGGAGTGTGAAGTGTGAAGTGTGGAGAGTGGAGTGTGACCGTGAAGTGTGGAGGTAGAGTGTAGAGTGTGAAGTGTGGAGCGTGGAGTGGAGAGTGTGCAGTGTGGAGTGGGGAGTGTGAGGCGTGAAGTGTGGAGAATGTGACGCGTGGAGTGGGGAGAGTGGAGTGTGAAGTGGAGAGTGTGAAGTGTGAAGTGTGATGTGGGAAGTGTGGAGTGGAGTGGAGAGTGTGAAGTGTGAAGTGTGGAGTGTGGAGTGTGAAGTGTGGAGCATGGACTATGATGTGGGAAGTGAGGAGTGTGGGGTGTCAAGTGTGGAGTGGAGAGTGGAGAGTGTGAAGTGTGGAGTGCGCAGTGTGGAGTGTGAAGTGTGGGGTGGAGAGCGTGGAGTGTGGAGTGGAGAGTGTGAAATGTGAAGTGTGGAGTCGAGAGTGTGAAGTGTGGAGTTTGGAGTGGAGAGCGTGAAGTGTGAAGTGTGGAGTGTGAAGTGCGAA